TTTATTCTACGGATTTGAGTGAATCTTCGAAACGGAGTAAATCGACATCACTAGACCATAATAGGATGAAACCACAATGAGGTGAAAGAGTACATTCAAAATCAGCCCCCAAAATCACTGACCACAATGTCTAACCACGTTTTGCTCACTCGTTCTGTTGTTAACCCAGTCTGTGTAATGTGGAAAGAGAAAATTGTGAAGACTGTGTTGTCAACCACCCATGTATGTGCCCAAAAGCAGCTTATAACTGACTTTGAACTGATTCGCAGAATCAAAGCACACTGCTCAGGTATACAATCGAATGATTTGGATATTATTTTTAATCCTACGTTTCCCGGTTGTGTGCCTTGTATATTCAGTTGAAAACGACCATCCCAACCAGGCTGATGACAAGCTTGTTATTCCCCAATCTTTGAGGTGATTACGGTGTTTGCTGAACCACCTACTTTGGCCAAGTTAATATACTGAGCTAGCACAATTTTGTGGCGTGAATTTTGCAAGTTGTGCGTAGCGCAACGCACAACTACGCACTGATGATGTCACCTCGATTGGTGATGAAACGTTCGCAATCTAATTGCCCAGCTCAGCGAACAAGCCAACAAACACCATCTACGCTACCTGAGCTACCAACATTTTCCTCTATAGTCCTGATAGCCCTCAGTATATATATATATATATGTCCAAATTGTGTAGTTGGTACAAGATGCTGTTAGTAGTCTCCTCACAAATGCCTCATAGCAACTAGCCGACCACAAATTCGTTTGGTTTCGTGGGTTTACCTAGGTAAGCTATTCCACTCAATGGATGATATCCGTCAGAATTACATGGCATAAGTACCGATCGGCCCGTTGGCTGCTGTGATCACCTAGAGAGTTGGTATATCTATTTGTGTCAGTGGACTGAAACCAGAGGCTAAGCAACAGTCAAGAGTGACATGTTCAGTTGGCACCTGCACTCCTTTTTAGCACAAGCTATATTTTCGAACGCTTTTACTTGCAATATTTATTTTACACTGATTTAGTGCTGGTGATTTTTTTCAAACACCGTGGTGGTTAATCTTTCCCGCAGTTTGACGAGCCCATTATCTGGAACTCGGTAATTTATCCCATATCAACGATGAACAAATAATTGGGAATTTTAGCCAGGTGCGTTTTGTCGGGTTTAGGCGACAGATAGTTTCTTTCTGTTTATCACATTGTTTGAAATGATATAATCATGTGCTCTCCAAACCAGTCGCCTTGCAGCCAAATAATCATGACAAGGGTGTCTCGCTTGCAAAGTGTTACCAAAAAACGAAGAAAAATGACCCTTCACCACTGGAAATAAGTGTATTGCGTAAGAAGCTGGGGTTTCACCTGATTGGTGGAGAAAACAAAAGTTTTCCTAATACGTATGCGTTCATATTTTTATATTTTGTTGTGTTGCACTTGTGTAACCAAACTCTGCCACATCTTCCATAAGAATGGGCACCTAGACAATATCTGACGTTTCGTTCATAAATATCAGTCACAAGGAATCTCGGTGGTCAGGAAAAATGGGTTTTGTGTCATGCCAGCGTAAGCTGATGCTTCGTCCGTTTTTCTTCGTTCGTTTGGCAACAGCTTGGATTTGGCTGGGCAAAACGAATAAATTATCTTTCGTGCGTGACGTACGAAAGGGTTCTAAATAAAACAGCAGAAAATTGCTTTGCTCGAAATGCATACAAAGCAGTAAAGCGGATTACAAACAAATCATGACCATACGTGCCGTCTTTTTGGGTAAGCTTGATCGGTCCATTTCAACGGCGGCTAGGTTCCCATTTCATGCGCGCCCAGTTGATGTCACGCCCCATTTACTGACCTGCCTTTCAAATCCACAAACTGTTGGTGAATTTTTCGTTCAGGCACAACATACAGTGGTTGTGCAGAAAGTGAAATGTGATAATCCATTGTGTGCACGCTTCAACCGTCCAGATTTAGCGTATAAGTAAAAAGAGACATACCACAACCATTCATGTTAAAGCCCGGTTTGCAACCATCTTCTGCGCACCTTTGAGATTAGTGTGACGTAGGTTCCGAATCGCGTCAGGGAAATTGGTCAACATTGGTGGTCAGAAATCGACTGATTCTAGATTTACTAGCTTTAGGTATCCAGATGCAATGGCCTTATCCAGTATGATGATATGAATCTTGCTTCCTTCACTACTGAGTAACTAGGCATTTTATTGTGAAAGGTGTTCAAGGAGAGTTTCGCAACTTTGTCAGGGCGTTTCATCAGTAGTTTTCACTTAGGTTGTTCCATAGAGTTATTAAAATGTACCAAACAGAAAGGTTGGAAAACTGTTCTCAAACTCTTGTGGCGCTTTACTAAATTAACCTTAGTGGGCCCACAGAAATTTAGGTCGTTCGTCATCCGAAGTTATGACACTACCCAACCAGAAATAGTTAATTTGCCACTCATCTGACATTCACTTAATTTTATCGGCACATGACATGCGGAGTAACAAGGTTAAAACAACAGGGCTGTTTGTACTCCAGTCGATGATAATAAAAACGGAACTCACGGGACTGGTACAGGCGTAACCAAGATTACAACAGTTCCATTAACATGACTCTGAACAAAGGCTTGTTGCACGACATCAAAAAACGTCATTTCAACAACTTTGACTTAACCATGGTGCCGAAGTCCTTTTGTGCTTTTCAGAACTGCAAGACCATAGATTGTTTAAAAGAAACGTTCATCATTTAGATGTGAAGCACTGAAGAGTTTGATTCCCTATCGAGTCCGTTAGACATACCAGCACAAACGCAAAAGTAGGGCAATGCTTCTTAGAGCAGCACATAAAAGTGTGGGTTGTGGTTTCCCTCACATTTTGGATAGTATACTTCCAGTATATACTTGAAACTAGGGCAGTTTTTGATAGTACGCTTGATGTCAAGGAACAAACTTCTCAACTCGATTTGGATTCAGCACAGATAAGCACCCATTTTTCTGCATCCACACTTCAAGCTTTTCATAACTACGCCTTTCTTATCTTGAGAGGCGTAAATAGAACTAATCTAGTTAAAGGTGGTCCATTTTTATTCGTTTCCCACCAATGAGTGCTTTTCTCTAGGTCCTCTTGAAACGGAAGGCAAAAAACAGAACAGGAAAACGAGTTGGAAATTTTGGCTCTACAAAACTCCATCTGTTTCACAAAACAAAAATAATAAACGCTTTTGGCAAAGAAGTCAAATTATTCGTATCCAAACACAGCAAGGATGTTTTAAAGTTAAGTTTATCCTACTGGTTATCCCCGGTGTGCATTTCTGAAAATTTCTAACGAGCTTGACAAGCGAAGTTCCCACAGACAGATTTTGTCCCATGGCTAATGCAACAAAGCGTGAAATTTAACGTACAGTATGATCGTAGTTTTTTAGCTAATAAACACACTTAAGATGGCCACCGTCAAGAGATAAAAACCAGTCGCGTGAGGAGATGTTTAACTAAATGCCCTAGATCCGTAGGTATGTTCTTAGAAGGTCAAATTAAGGTCGTTGGGTTCTGTTGAAAACAGGCCACGGGATATTGCTTGGCTAAAATTAAGCTGTCAACAGTTGTCAGTGAAACGGCTACAGTATCGTCGAAACCACAGGTCTTATCACTTGCTGTTTCTTGTACATACCTTCACAGACCACATACCTAAATTGCACTGGTTGTAGCCGGGTAGATTCTGTGCCCCAAATTGCAAAGCGTAGTTTAGACAAATTTGACTTAGGCAATTTCTACCGTAAATGAGTAGTTACGTATTAAGACCGGTCAGCAGTTAGACTATGTAAGGTAAAGGCTAATCGATTGCTGAAGCGATTCAAGTGTGAAAGATCACCTAGATGCCAAGAATTTTGTCTAGATTCAACCAGCGCGAGACACCGACCATGCTTTTAATGAGCATGGATGAATATACTGTGAAAGTTTTTCTTGCCTTAATCGGAGGTAATTACTGACCGAAGAGGCCGCCAACTTTTTCTAGTTTACCGCAGATTCTTCTTCTTAGGTGACAGTTATCAAAAGCAAGGGTGAACGCCGAATAACCGGTAAAAGAAGAACAGAGGAAACTTGGAACGGAAGCTATTTCAGTCAGTGGGATTTCGCATACATATTTAGCCTTAAGCTGCCTGAAGAAATTCAATATTTATTGTCCGTTATGTGAAAACTGTATGTCGGATGGAATACAATAGTCAAGGTGATTATTTTTGTTTTATTCACTAAACATTCTAGCAGCGAAATGGGGTATTATCAACTGAGGTGACTTGATCAGTGCGTAGCAAATTAGCGGCGCATGATGTTGCTTCAGCTTATAGGATTTACTTTTCTAATAGTACTAAAAAGCTTAATCACCAAGTTCCCTGTGTATAGCGGAAATCAGCTGAGTGTAACGCGTTCACAACAGGCAGGCGAATAATTGGTAAATGAAGCAGAAGAAACATAACCTACAGAAACATAAGTTTAAGGCGACGGGGCCGTATGCCGCACACGTCTTCTGCCAAAAGAAGTACCGCTTCCCTTTCATAATCACAGATGAAGGCATTTTACGAGGCAAAATTAAAGCTGTCGGTTCCGTGGAATCTTACCGCCATTTCGGATGGGACTCTCACTGTTGTTCAGTTCGGGAACGGTGAAACCCCACTTGTATGACAAAATTGTCCTCAATGACAGGCATACCGTTACTGCCTATCTTGCAACCTAGTTGGTGTATGTCACTCATTTTGTGGTGAAACCGTGTTAGGGAGTGTACACAACCAATGCTAGAACAATCTTATCGATACAGAATCATTCCAACGTGATCCGGTAAGCTTAGTTTAATGCCGTTTTAAGACGCAAATTCGCTGTTTTCGGTTGCTTTGCATAACGGTATAAGAATACGTTTACTCCACCTATCTATCTTCTTCTGCATGGTTAGATATAATTTAACCGTCAGTATTTAGTATTGCCACTAGTGATGATGCTTCCATCGAACGTCGTATCATTGTGTTACATCACACCAGTTCGGTACGCTCAAAAGCATACGCGGCCAACTCCATAGCCACACGCCACATGGTCGGGTTCCATTGACGATTTTTCAAAATGCACTGAAGTAAACGGGTAAGTAGTAAATACCTATGATGTATATCCAGCATTTTCTATCACATTTGTGTGACCGAAAAGTAGTTTGAATACAGTAATCTTCTAGATGGCAGTGAAATGCTACTTATATTCTACCGATTTAACTACTTCTTGGATCTAACCAGGATGACTTAATGTTTAGGTTTGGTCCCTACTGGGGGTTTTCAGCTCCACAAATGTAGACGGATACATCAACTTACACTGAGTCTCTTAATTATCAAGCGGCAATATTGCCATGGACAGGAAGGCTCATTTAGGATTCTCGCAAAGACGCGCAACAGTTGGAGTTGGAGTGACGACCTGAAGTGTGCCCTGGTATATTATCTAGCCCTCATTTAAGCATACATGTAACATGGGTTAGAAGAATCCAGAAGATCATTCACGCCGAAGATGTTACCACCTGTTACGGCATACTAAAAACTAATGGTCAGTGTTCCTTTGAGCGTATACGAAGGTAATCAATTTTGCAAAAATTGGAACTTATCTTATATCACAAACGCCGCCCTGATAACTTTTGACCAAAATGCGAGTGCAACTAATGTCATTGTAGTTTGAAAACTACTTTAGAAAACCCGATTATTGTTTTGATGATTTACTTTACGGAAGAAGCACACAGCGCAATCGCGCTTTATCAATGTGCGTAACTAATTCCGCTAAAATGCACAAGTGGCTGCATCAAGGGAACGAAGCAAAAGCCAAAACTTATTGTCATCAATCGTTTCTTTTGGGCACACGGATAATGAAGTATTCTGCGAGCTGTCATAGGGTAACCTAGAATGGTTGACTTAGAGTGTGATCCTTCCGGTCCATCTAACGGCTAATTACATAAAATAGGCCACTGTCATTTGACGCAGGCTTGAGCATATTGGACAAAACATTTCTGCTCGGGTAAGTGCCTCTATTATTATTACATAACAAAAATTAGGTTGCTCATAGGATAATATGTTATGCCTTGGCATGAAATTAACCCTAAGTAAACACGTTTGTTTGACCAGTGATTACACAGTGTCTGGCCACATCAACGAACCCTCAGGGAGTATTGGCACCGCTAAAACTGATATGCCGGATTACGATCAAATGTATAACACTTATTTCAAAATCGGTGTTATTTAGAAAGCTGAATGAAATTAATGCAGATCGTGAGGCTGTGTAGTCATTCCCAAGCGCCAAGTCATTCACTTGCAACTTCCGTCCAGCGCAGGCGGTTTGCAATCAAGAACAAGAAAGGAGGTCAAAAGAGCTACTGGGTTCATAATCGTAGATGGATGAACCAGAAACTCCACAGGCTTGCGTGTAAAATCAGCTCTAACATCTGAAAAATCATGTTTCAGAAATGAACACGTTGGCTGTGAAGGTTGCACCCGTTTTGAACCAGAGGAGTGTTACAGCAAGCAAACCTGAAAATACTGTTATGCTAGTCGCGCGTAGACGTAAGCTCTTGCATCCACTCACGTAAGCATTTATTCGCAGTCCACATGTTCAGGGTAACTGATCTCAATCAGTTTGTCTAACATGCCACCATACTTGTATCTTGTTAAATTGGTTGAATGTTCGCATCGAAATGTTTCACCGCCTGCTGCATCTTGTTTATGACCATATTTATACTTCACACAGGAGGCATACACCCAGATCACCTACATAATTCAGGTGCATTGGTTTCTTATATAATGGATAACCCAAAATCCAAAACGGATTGCACAGACTGATCTTTAGTTTCTTCAATTATTGTGAAGGCTCACTATGCATATCTTATTACCAACCAACTGTTCCAGGTTACAGGTGAATTTGAGACTGCTCAAGTCCAAGTCTGACGTTTACACAAACAGGGTGATAGTTTCAATCGACCTCGCATTTGAAATCTTTTCTTCCGTAACCTCGTACGATTCAACAACACAGTTACCGGTATTGGTGTGTTTTGAGACTGTTGCGGTGAGTAAGTGCCAGTTCCAGCTCGTCTATGAGTGATCTTCTACCGGGAATCTCGTTTCCGTGAACTCATAACCTCACTTTTTGACAAATAAGCATTTATCAAAGTTAACCTGTGAGACTCAAGGCTGGAATGTAGTAGATACTCCGATAAAATCTACCGAGACGTTTACGGATAATGCTGTTTGGAGGGAAACCTGTAGGAATTGAAACTGTGCGTTGGAAAGATGTAAGACGGAACAAATGGCATTAATATTATCACTGTCACAGAGGCAGAAGTAACCAAACTTGACCTCATGGATTCCGACGTACTACTTGCAACCCCAAAAGTTTTCGCTTGATGAAGAATCTATTAGATAGTCTCTTATGTTTTGGTTTCACATTCAACAAGCGTCAAACTTTTTTCTAAAATACTCTTTCTGGAGTCAAAAAAAGATTTAATCAGTGTTGGCTGTTCATAATTATGTTTCTAAAGATATTTTGGTCATCGATTGTCACCACAACTGTTAAAGTCTATCCTGCACGTAAATAGCACATTAGTTGTCTGCAACCTTCGAAACGACTTGTTTCCACTTGCTAATATATCAATGTCCTAGTTCCGCATACCAATCCAAAACTATTGACAAGACCGTGATATTAGAACTGAGTTAGCCATTTTTCAACATGGTTATCGATTCACTGGTTATGCTACGCAGAAATGATGTCTTTGCGTGACTGATGTACATCAGCAGAATGGTAGACTAGAACAGAGTGGAGTGATAATTATATTTTTGTAGAGCAAAATGCAGTTGACGTGTCGAGTGAAGTTACGTCGAACCCGCTTGAACTGCTGAGTAGTGCACAACTTGAGGGTTAGGAAGCTGTTGTGTTCTATTAGGCATGGATGTGCTTTGGTTCCGAAGTTAGGCTTTGCTTAGATGCACATCGGGTATAATCGCAAAAGCGATGGACGGAGTTTCATCCACACGGCGTTGCTTTCATATGGTATTAGTAGCACAAAAGTGCACCGACTATTTGTGTATCATATAAAATGAGCATAACATTAGCTGTTAGTATCTTCTGTAAATTATACGCCCTTTCACACAAAGTTGTCTCCTTGCAATCCCGGCGGCAAAATTTCGAGAAAAATGTGACGTTTTTTGCAGGAAAATAATTACGTTAATTGGAAAAGTAAGTAGTGGGGCTCAAACCAGAAGATACAGCAAGAAGGTCGTACACAAAGCTTTCTTCGCTGTTGGTAAATCTTCACCTAATAAGGTGTGAATTTGTAATTTATCAGCTTTGCTATCACCTATCGAAGAAATTTGAGGGACGAGGAAGTTTAAGAAAGCCATGTTGAGTTTATTTAAGTGAGTCTAATTCCACGATCGGCCTATCCATTTGAGAAAACCACTCCTCTACTCTACTACTCCGGATTGTGATACTTTTGAAGAGAAACAAAAGGGGTTAAAAAGTGGTTTTGGTCAAATGTTGTTTCACTATCACTCCTAATCCCAAAATCCAAGCAACTCAAGAAATCCAATTCGTATACTGTCCAGAATTCTTATACTTCCAGATCTGCCAGTGTTTCCTCCACTGCTAATGGTTCACAATAACGCTGAAACAGATTTGTAATACTCCTTTTAGCTGCATCACCATACCTAGTAAACCAATAAACAATGTGAATAATTGCTAGATGTTTTTTATAGGCATTTCTCTGTAGTTCCATAGCAGGTCCTAGTTACTTTCAGAAGTAAAAAGTCTTCTGGATATTTTCTCCGATTCAGCTGTGCCCAGAGGACGACAATGTCTGTCAAACCTAATCGTGTGCGCAAATTTCAGTGGGTACTTCTTAATACACTTCTTTCCATGTCTCTTGAAAACTCTCTTTTGCTTTCTCCATGTGTTTTACTCTCCTCTGACCACGCAAAGTGCAATAGTGTGTACTATTTCGGACGGTCAGACTCCTATTTTCGCTCAAAACTGGGTTTCAAATGTCCAGTGCGCTTCACATACACGCGAAGTCCATTAATTTATATAAGGCTCACCAATAAGCACCCCCGAACAACGTTCCCTCAAGCAGCACCCACACAGGCAACCTTGAGATTGAACGTATCATAGGACCGTATGGCTTCTCATGGGCCATATATGTAACAATGTGCCAGGCTGAAAATTCGGTTGCTGGATTGTGTTGGTAATTGAACTACCGTTCTGAGTGCCTTATTTGTCATTTTTGTGAGTTCTTTGCTTTACCCAGCTTTACCTCGGCCTCCGTTTCCACCTGGAAATCACCTGCTTTTAAGGCGACCAATCACATAACCTAACGTCACCAAGCTTGGAAGAAAGGGGAAGCCGTATAGAGGTAATTAAGCTGTTACCCATAAGCGACTGATAAAAGTCGGTGTCACCTGGAGCAGTTTCTAGGGCTAGAAAGGCTTTCAGTGATGTATGAAAGAAGTTAAGGTAACTGTTCCCCTTGTTTCTGTATTTTAGGTGGAGCTGTCCACGTACTGTACGGCCAAACTAATCTGAACGACCCAGATGCCATGAGCTAAACTTCGGCTGTCAACATAGCTGCCGTTTTTTCCACCACTTTCAAGGAACCTGAGTACCGGAGGTCACTACATGTGACACGATTCTCAGAGGAAATCGTGAAATCTCCCAGTGCACCACAGCTATCTTCCCAACTATTTTTTTGTCAGCCACAGCGAACCAAATCGTGGGGAGAAGGCCACCTGTGACGTGACTATATCCATTCCCTGAATTTGATATGAGACGCGATAAACACAAGAAGAAATACTTAAATATGTGCTATAGGATACCAATGTTCTTTGACAGCCGAACAGAACCCAGTATCTTTGTAACCGGAGGTCTATGTACATCAAGGAATTTATGAGTTCACGAGTAACAAGCTTCGCGTGACTGCCACTTTGTAGTTTGGCTTAGCTGAAGCGGATAAGATGTGCTAATGAGAACGCATCCAGCCAAAACTCATTTGTTTAAACTGCATGAACATTCCCCAAAGCAGCCTCTTCGCATGATTCCACAACGGCCGTCTTCA